GGAATTATGCTACCAGATATCAAACTATACTACAAGGCCATAGTAATCAAAATAGCATGGTATGGGCATTAAAAACAGACATCTAGATCAATGGAACAGATCTAAGAGAGCCCCAAAATACATCCACGCCTTCATAGTCAATGTATATTTGGAGACAAAAACATACAATGGGCTAAAGATAGTCTATTCAATAAATGGTGTTGGAAAAATTGGACAGATACGTGCAAAAAAAAAAAAAAAGAAACTAGATTACCTTCTTACACGCACACAAGAATAAACCCAAAATAAATTAAAGACTTAAATGTTAGACTCAAAATAATAAAAATCCTAGAATAAAACATAGGCAGTAAAATCTCAGACATTTCTCGTAGCAGTATTTTTTCTGATATAGCTCCTTGGGCAAGGGAAACAAAAGAAAAAATAAACAAATGGGACTACATCAAACTAAAAAGTTTTTGCACAGCAAAGGAAACCATCAACAAAATGAAAAGACAATCCACTGAACAGGAGAACATATTTTCCAATACATCTGATAAGGAATTAATATCCAAAATTTAGAAAACACAACACAAAAAAACAAACAAACAATCCAATTAAAAATGGACAAAGCACCCAAATAGATACTTCTCCAAAGAGGACATGCAGATGGTCAATAGACATATGAAAAGATACATCACTAATCATCAAAGAAATGCAAATTAAAACCATAATGAGATATCACTTCGCACCTGTCAGAATGGCTATCATCAGTAAATCAACAAACAAGTGCTGGTGAGGATTTAGAGAAAAGAAAATCCTTGTGCACTGATCCTTGTGTGGGAATACAGATTGGTACAGCCACTGTGGAAAGCAGTATGGAGTTACCTGAAAAAATTAAAAGGTGGAACTGTCTTATGACCCAGTGATTCCACTTCTGGGAATTCATCCGAAGAAACCTGAAATACTAATTAAAAAGAATGTGTGCACCTCTATGTTCATTGCAGCACTATTTACAATAGCTCAGATTTGAAAGCAGCCCAAATACTCATCAGTAGATGAGTGGATAAAAAAGCAGTGGTACATTTACACAGTGGAATATTACTTGGCCGTAAAAAATATAGAAAATCTTACCCTTTGTGACAGCATGGATGGACCTGGGGAACTTTATGCTAAGTGAAATAAGTCATTCAGAGAAAGACAAATACCATATAATTTCACTCATATGTGGAATTTAATGAACAAACTGGACTGATAAGCAAAATAGAGAGAGATTCATAGATAGAAAGCAGGCAGACAGCTCTGGTGGGAGGGTGTAGGGGGGGTGTGGAGGGATTGAGCAAAAAAAAAAAAAAGAGAGAGAACTCATGGACATGGACAACAGTGTGGTGATTGCCAGGGTCAGGGGGGTGGGTGGAGGTGGAAAATGGTATAAGGGGGATAAATGGTGATGGAAAACAAAGAGAAAAAAAAAATTTATAACACAGTGAAAAGCCATTGCTGGTTCCAGCCAAGAACTAGGACTACTCATAAAGGTGGTTATGTCTATATACTAGGTATCAAAAGGAAATTTTAAAGAGCATTAAGTGCAGCAGTAAAGGTAGCTTTCAAGTTCTGTACCATGTTAGGCAAAAAGAAAATATAACAACATCCCTGAAAACTACATATTTTGTTTTTACTCCAGTCCTTTTCTACCATCAAAGCAATATATCTAAGAGAAATTGCAAATTCCTGCACTCTGTGGATCTTTATGTTCTGTGGACTGAGGTTTAATACATACCAAATTTAATATTTTTAATAAGTACTTAGGTCTCACTTTCACAAAATAAAAAGTGCATGTCTTAAAACAATAAATACAACATAAATGTAGAATTTTCTTCATTACAAACTGAGCCTATTATCAAAATGTAGTCTCTTCCCCCTAAGAAAAATCCAACTTTTAATTTATTGTGATCACAGAATGGGCATCAGCCAAAGTTAGAGTTCATTATACATCTCTGACCCCCACAATCATAAGGACAAGTTTTGATTTATATCACAATTGAGAATGAGCCTGAAGATATTGTACAGGAAATTAGTGTTTGGCTTTGGTATTCTGGCTTATAACAATACTGTTGTTGATAGCATAAATCAGGGAACCTATTAAGCAGCACATCCAATTTGTCTGTGGTTCCATTGCCCTCTAGTGGCTATTTTGAAACTAATTATTAAAAGTGGTATTAACCTTCAAAAGTCAGTGGCAGTTCTCAAAGCAGGGTGGGCAGATCAGCAGCATCAACAATATCTGGAAATTTCTTACACATACCAGTTTCAGACCCCTACGAGCTACTGAAAAGAAATTGTGAATGAAAATCTAATAGACCCTCCAGATGATTCTGATGCACTCTAATGTTTGAGAACCACGGATGTAAGGGAAGCCTTCTATTATTTCAAGTAGATATGAAAGTATATGGGTGTATGTGAGCATTAATTTTATGTGTTAACTTGACTGGGCTAAGGGATGCCCAGATAGCTGGTAAACATTATTTTGGGATGTGTCTGTGAGGGTGTTTTTATCTCAAACAGATTAACATTTGAATTGGTGAAATGAGTAAAACAAATGCCCTCCCCAGTGTGGGTATTATCATCCAATCTGTTGAGGGCCCAAATAGAACAACAAAAAAAAAAAAACGCATAGGAAGAGCAAAATTGTTCTGTCTGCCTGAGCTAAGTCCTCCCTCTGCCCCTGCCCTCAGACATGGGTGCTCCTGGTTCTCAGGCTTTTGGACTCAGATCAGGACATATACCATTAGCCCCATGACTCCCAGGCCTTCACACTTAAGAGTGTATTACACCACGGGTTTTCATGGTTCTCCAGCTTGCAGACAAAAGATCGTAGGGCCTCCATAACCACCTGAGCCAATTCCTATAATAAATATCCTCCTCTTTTTTTTTTTACATCCTCACCTAAGGATATTTTTCTATTTATCTTCAGATGGGGGGGGGGGGGGTGAGAAAACATCAATGTGAGAGACACAGCAACTGGTTGCCTCCTGTACAACCCTGACCAGAGCCGGGAGGAACTGCAACCAAGGTTCGTGCCCTTGTCCAAAATTGAAGCCTCAGCTCATTGGTCCACAGGCTGATGCTCTAACCGCTAAGCCAAACTGGCCAGGGCAATAAACATCCTCTTATACACACATCTGTATACATCCTATTGGTTCTGTTTCTCTGAAGAACCCCTACTAGTGCAGTGCATATGAGTGTTCTTTTATAGGAGTGTTGCTCATAATTATCCCATGCTTTTCTAAATTTCAAAATGTCTTTGATATGTGCAGAATAATCTAGAAAAAGTATACAATTAGTTGGGGAGATTTAAAAGTACTATATATTCAAGACTGAATGATAAAAAAAAATAGAACAAAATAAATAAAAGTAACATTAGATATTAAATGTCCATTTTAAGAGCTTGCTAACTAGCCAAACCATCGACCAGGATCTACCCATTCTTTTTTTGGCTATAAAATCAATGGGGAGCCCTGGCCAGTTTGGCTCAGCGGTTAGAGCGTCGGCTTGCAGTCCAGAGAGACCCGGGTTCAGTTCCCACTAGGGGCACGTACCTCAGTTGCAGTTTGTCCCCGGCCCTGGTTGGGTCGTGCAGGTGGCAACCACTCAATGTGTCCCTTCACGTTGATGTTTCTCTCTCTCTCTCTCCCTCCCACTCTATCTGAACAAAAAATGAAGATGTGTCCTCAGGTGAGGATTAAAAAAAAAAAAATCAATGGGAAAATATTTGTTGAATGGAATGACTATTCAATCCAGGTTTGTATGGGGTATTTAATATTCGAACTCATTAGTAGACGTATATTGCTTTATAACCATTTTCTTCCATTACATAAATTGCTACTTCTCATGTTTGTTATAGGATTATTCACAATAGCCAAGAGGTGGAAGCAACCCAGTGATGGATAAATAGAGAAAATGTGGCATATGTATACAATAGAATATTATTTGACCTAAAGAAGAAAATTCTGACACATGCAACAATATAGATAAATCTTGAGGACATTATGCTAAGTGAAAAAAACCAGTCACAAAAAAACAAATACCATTATGATTCCACTTACATGTGGAATCTAAAGTAGTCAAATTCATAAAAGCAGAAAATAGAATTGCAATTGCCAGTGGCTGGAAAGAGAGGGAAATGGGAAGTTGTTGTTCAGTGGAAACAGAGCCTGTTTTGTAAGATGAAAAAGTTACAGAAAGCATACTGGCTGGTTTGGCTCAGCAGTTAGAGCATCGGCCCACAGACAGAAGGGTTTTGGGTTCTATTTCCAGTTGAGGGGATATACCTGGGTTGCAGGTTCAGTCCCCTGCCTGGTGGATGTCATGCAGGAGGCAACCAATCAATGTGTCTCTCTCGCATCAATGTTTTTCTCTCTCCCTCCCTCCCTCCCTTCCACTCTATCTAAAAACCAATGGGAAAATGTCCTCAGGTAAGGATTAACAACAACAAAAAAGTTACAGAGATGTACAACAAGGTAAATATAGTTAACACTGCTGAACTATACACTAAAAAATGGTTAAGATGGTAAATTTTATGTTTTGTTTCTTCCTCTTCCCCTCCTTTTCCTTTTCCTCAACTCAATCTGTCCCCAACTCAATATATGCACAGAATCAAGAAAATAGAGGCAAGAAGAACAAGTGTTCTGCTCTCTTCTTTCTTTTGCAGTTCACAATAGGTACATCAGTCTTAGTTCAGGAAAAATGAGGGGAAAGTTGGAGGGAAGCTCAATTCCAGCCTTCTAATTATGGGAACCAGGCCATTTCTTCCCATTCTGGCGCAAAATGGCTACTCTGCCAAACAACAGGCAAATACATCTAAGTTCTTAAGATCTTCAAACTCAAATGAGAAATTTATTTAAATAATAAAAATATTAATATACTCAGTCTCACATTCATAAATAATGTACCAGAATCTATCTCAAATTAAAGAAAGCAAGATCAAGAAGCAATACAAACAGACATATATATATGTGTGTGCCTCAAAAGCAAATAGCTTATTCCATTAGGAAATGCTTCATTCTACAATCTATTTGCACTGTGTTTCCATCAATTTCATCAGGTTTTGTTTCTTCACTTCTGTCTTCACTTCTGTTTGGGTGATAAGTCCCATAATAAACAATAAGAAAAATAATTCCAAGGAGAAGAGTAAGAGCTATAGTAATACTGATAGGTATAAAATAGTCTGGATTAAAAATAGAAAGTGGGCAAACCCACAACACAATCAATGTCCCCAATGTGGCCAGTACCCTTACAATATAATAACAAGACATTGGACATTTGGTATTCTGTCCCTTAATATTAAAAAATGTAAAAATAAGAATGAATCCAACAACAATCCTGTATAAGAACTCCATACTTATGGAAGCACAAAACTGAGTTTGCTTTTTAAATGCCCACAATATACCTAAAAACCAAAGAAATAGCAACAGACATAAAGCAATGTTAACATTTAAGAATAAAAGAAGAACAACACTCAGCATCCAAGATAATAATGTAAAAAACTTGTAAAAGAAATATGTGGTTTTGGGACAGGGACCAATAAGGGTATTTTTATCAGGCAAGGATTTTCTTAAAGCTATTTGATAATCAACAGTCGACCAAGAAATAGCACAGCAAGAGACCATGATGGCTGCATCTACAAAACAAAAAAATTTAAAAAGGTATATTGTTATAGGAATAATAATAGCAATATTAAATTACCATATGCCATACATGCTTTATCTGTATTTACACATACCCACAAACACATGTCAGGCACTTGATATACTCATCTCAGCTAATCCTTTGAGATACATATGAATATTCCCATTACATATGCAGGATTAATGCTTTAAGAATATATATTACTTGCCCTGGCCGGTTTGGCTCAGTGGTTGGAGCGTCGGCCTGCAGTACAGAGAGACCCAGGTTCGGTTCCCGCTAAGGGCATGTACCTCGGTTGCAGTTTGTCCCCGGCCCTGGTTGGTCATGCGGGCGGCAGCCACTCGATGTGTCCCTTCACATCGATGTTTCTCTCTCTCTCTCCCTCCCGCTCTATCTGAATAAAAAATGGAAAAATGTCCTCGAGTGAGGATAAAAAAAAAAAAAAGAATATATATTACTTGACCCAAGTCATACAGCTAGCAAGTTGCAGACAGTTGAGATTTTAATCTAAAGCTACCTGATTCCAAAGTTGGTATACTTTACCACTGCATTAGACTGCTTTACAAGATACTGAATAAACTGTGCAAATTTTGGACACATTTTATTGAGCAACTGGTAGAGTGAAAACTACATACTGTTCTATGGAAATTCTCTAAGACACTACAATTATAATCCTAGCTATTCCAGTCTTTAACTTTGACCCTATATATATCTGGGCATATATCTAATTCACTAAGAGACAGCATCATGAGGGAAAAAAGTGGGAAGGAAGGAAGGAAGGAAGGAAGGAAGGAAGGAAGGAAGGAAGGAAGGAAGGAAGGAAGGGAGGAGGAAGGGAGGGAGGGAGGGAGGGAGGGAGGGAGGGAGGGAGGGAGGGGGGAGGGGGGGAGGGGGAAGGAAGGAGAAGGGAGGGAGGGAGGGAGGGAAATTTAATATAAGTATGAGCTGAGTATCAACAAGCTCAATTTCCCACATCTTTAAGATGATGGATCAAATGAATATGTTCTAAAGAAAGCTAACAAATTTCAATAGGTTTGACATCTTAACCCTATTTTTCCCCCAACAAATAACAGAAGAGTAATCTCATTACTACTTTAGAAAGGCATGTCATAGCACCACTGTCAAAACTGGACTTTTATAAGACAGTATCTAGATCATACCCATGTTTACCAATGTGACTATATTTTGTGATAGGGCCATTAGGAGGTAATTAATCCAACTTTATGGATTAGACTTTTCTACCAGACATCCCTCTCTTGTGAGGACCCTGAGTTTTGTTTTCAGTCCTCCACACCCTAGGAAGCCATCAAAACTGAATTTGCTGCCAAGCTGGAGTGGCTCAGTTGGTTGAGTGTTGTTCTGTGAACCAAAAGGTAGCCAGTTTGATTCCTGGTCAGGGCACATACCTAGACTGTGTGCTTGATCCCTGGAAAAGAACAGGTCTATATTTTTCTCTTTCTCTCTCTCCCTTCCTCTCTTTAAGCATGTCCTCGGGTGAGGATTTTTTTTAATATGTTTTTATTGATTTTTTAGAGAGCGAGGAAGGGAGAGAGAGATAGAAACATTGATGTGAGAGAGAAACATTGCCCAGCTGCCTCCTGCACACCCCTTACTGGGGTTCAAGCAGGCAACCTGGTCATGTGCCCTGACCGGGAATTGAACCAGGACCTCTCAGTCCAGGGGATGAGGCTCAATCCACTGAGCCATGCTGGCTGGGCTCAGGTGAGGATTAAAAAAAAAAAAAAAAACTGTATCTGCTGTTTATAATATTCGGTAAAAACCCTCAGGGTATAAATACCTTCAAGCTCCTACTTAACCCTACTGGGTTCTACTTTCATGCATATTTAGCCTGTTGCATCAAACTGTTATGCAGGCTTTTGAAAATATTTATCCAACAGTTTCAGATACTTTCAGAGGGAGACTAGTTTCAAGTAATTTTGCCTTTCAGTGGAGAGCTGATTCAAATAACCTAAATTTTCCATAATCTAAATATTGGTTGATATTTCTAATCTGCTATTCTATTTTGCATTCTCTTTGTTCTTGTGGGTTTATATTATTTTTACTCCTTTACACTCCTTATTAGTGTGATTTCAAGAAGGAGCAAAGATATAAGAATATGTTCAGTTTTCTGAAGTACTTCTACAAGTAACCTGATTTTTTTAACATTCTAAGTTTTTCTTCTTGATTGTCAAAACAATACATAATTACTATAGAATGTTTGGAAATTCAGAAAAGTGTAAAGATTAAATAAATTCATTCATAATCCCACTGCTCATAAGCAGCCACAGTTAACACTTTTCATATTTTCTTCCTGATGTTGTTCTATATAATAAGTTTTTGTATCCTTAAAAGTATGCTGATAGAAAATTTTATAAACTGCTTTTTGCCTAAATTTTATTTTAGAATTACTTTCCTGTGTTATTAAAAGTTATCACTATTTCCAGTAGCTACATAATTTTTTATTGTAACAATACAATAACTTATTTACCAATTCTTCTATTGTTAAACAATTAGACTCTCATTTTTTTTTTTTTTCTATTTTTAACTAATACCTCAACTTCTTACTTCAAGGAGAAACTGAGAATGAGATAGAACCATAATATGAAGATAAGGTTACTGGATCCCATAGCTGATCTGAATGCTATGTACTACTTGGAATCATCAGCAGATCTACCATAAAATAGGCTATAAACTCTATAGGTTGAACTTCTAGTTTCAGTAACTATATGACACAGAACATCTAAGTCCCAAAACACAAATTATTTGCATTACAAGGAAAAAGAGGTCTCATACACAGTAGGTTCATTTCAGTGTCTTATTAACAACTAAGGTAAAAATAATAATATTAGAGGGGGCTACAATCTTGAGGTTTATGGGAAATTGGGAAGAAAAAGACTATTTAGGAGAATGAATTGATCTCACAGGTGAGTCTAGCATAGAAAAAACTCCAGGAAAGATGACAATCTGGTCCTCTGAGGTGAATCCAAGTCTTCATGCAACCTTAGTCATTAGTTTTTTATAACATCTCAAATTAAACACCTATTAAAAGTTTTTTAATGGAAATATCAAGCTGTCTTTTAAAATTTAATATTTTACCCTAACAAGGAAATATGCCATAATAGAGCAACATACTGGCCAACTTTTGCGAATTCTGTAGCATTCATAATTTATCTAATGATTCCAATTCTGGAAATTTACCCTATGGATATACTTCATGCATATATAAGATTATTCACAGCAGCATTTATTGCAATAGTAAAATATTAACAACCTAGCCCTGGCCGGTTTGGCTCCGCAATTACAGCAGCGGCCTGCAGTCCAGAGAGACCCGGGTTCGGTTCCCGCTAAGGGCACGTGCCTCGGTTGCAGTTTGTCCCTGGCATTGGTTGGGTCGTGCGGGTGCAACCACTCGATGTGTCCCTTTCACGTCAATGTTTCTCTCTCTCTTTCTCCCTCCCATTCTATCTGAGCGAAAAATGGAAAAATGTCCTCAGATGAGAATAGGAAAAATATATATATTAACAACCTAAATTAACATAAACAGGGGCTTTTTAAAGAAATCATGGTAGCCCAGCCAGTGTGCTCAGTGGATAGAGTGTTGTCCCATGGACTGAGAGGTCCTGGATCGATTTCCAGTCAGGGCACATGCCCACATTGCAGGCTCGATCCCCAGTATTAAGGGATCAAAGAGGTGGGCAGGAGGCAGCCACTCCATGTTTTTCTGTCACTCTCACATCAACGTTTCTCTCTTTCTCTCTCTCTAAAAATAAATCAATAAAAACGTATTTTTTTAAATAAAAATAAATCATGATACATCCATAATTTGTAATACTATGCAGATAATGAAAATGAATGAGGGAGCTTTTTCTGTACTGACATGGATTGATATCCAAGATATACTGTTAAATGCAAAAAACAAAGACAGTTTTTATTTTATGTTACCATTTCTATAAAAGAGGGGGGAGGAAGAGAGAGGGAGAGAGAGACACAAAGAAACAGAAAAAGAGACAATTAATATAGGCTTTAATTTTTTTTTTCTGAAAGAATTATTGAAAAACTGACTATGGTTTCCTTTCTGGGCAGACAAAGGAAGGAAAGAGAAGAAGTCTGAGGGAAACAACATATACCTTAAAATACTTAAACCATGTACTTCTTTTTAAAAATTAAATAATTCTATAAAGAAAAACAATTTTAAAAATTCTAAAACCTGCCCAAAACTTACATAGTCAACGTAAGATCTCAATTGCATCCCTCTAACCAAGGGTCTTAAGAAAGACTTACACTGACTGATATTTCCTTGACCATGTTCCAGACAGATGTAGAGCTGAAGAACAAGTTGTGGGCAGCCTTCCAGGTAGGTCTCAAATAGCCTGAGCATGCTCAGATCAGTCACTCTATCTATAACTTCTTTATGTGGATCAATTTGTTCTTCTAGGAAGTTATCAGTTTTGCTGCTATATTTGAAAGCCACACGATAACCGTTTTTCAAGGTAAACCAATACCTGAAAAGTAAGCATAAACATTCATCTTCTGTAATATGTACTTTATAACATATATGTTTAATATACACAATAATTTTGAAAAAAAGTAGCATATGTTTAAGTACAGATTTTCCCCACAAACTTTCTCTACTACAAATTTCTTCTCATTGTGGCTTTACTGAGATTCAGTTTCCATAAACTTTTATTTCATGTTTGATGCTTCATTTTGTGCTAGCACTGTTAAACATACATGATCTCATTTCATCCTCACAATAATTATGTAAGATGAGTAGGTATTATTCCCATTTTATAGATGGGAAAATTAAGGCTGAGACCAGTAAGGTGATTCACTGACAGTTACACAGAGAGTAAGGGGCAGACCTAGAGTCCAAATCAAGATCTTATGATTCATAGTCTTAACCACTACTCTGAAAGACAAACTACAATTTTCAATTCATGCAATTTATCTTTCTTAAACTATTTTAGAAAGAGAAAGAGAGAAACATTGATGTGAGAAAACATTGATCAGTTGCCTCCCACACTCACCCCAACCACGAAAAATACCCACAACCTGGGTATTTGCCTGACCAGGAATCAAACCTGCCATCTTTTGATGTAAGGGAGAGACACTCCAACCAACTGAGCCATACCAGCCAGGGTCATGCAATTTATCTTAAATACAAGATGGATATATGCCCTTAAGATAATGTCAAGTTTGAAGATGAGATTAAACTTCTTTCAATTTAATCCAGCAAATAAGTATTCAATATCTGCATGGTGCTAGTCTCTTTGACCATTATCATCTTCGAAAATACAAAAAAAAATCTCAGACTTAAAACATCCTTGCTCAGGCTCTTCTTTTAAAAAAATTTTAAAATGAACATAGGTTATTATCATACAAGTAAAATTCATTTTTAAAAATGGAGACACAGAAGAAATCTGAGTCTAGCAATAAAGCAACCAGGATTCTAGCCCAAAGTTTATCAGACTCTTTATCTACACCTCAGTTTCTTCATATATAAAATAAGGGCAGTAAATATATGTACATCCTCTTTTAACCTGCTCCTTCTGTCAGTGTTTCCCATTTTAGTAAATGGTACTAATGACTTCTGGTCAAGATGGCGGCATAAGTAAATGTGGTACTGGCTTCCTCCCACAACCACATCAAAATTACAACTAGACTACAGAACAACCATCATTCAGAACTGCCTGAAATCAAGAGGAATGAAAGTCCTACAATTACGAAATTAAATAAGAAGCCACATGCCCAGCCAGTGTGGCTCAGTGGTTGAGCGTCAACCCATGCACAAGAGATCACCTGTTCAATTCTCACTCAGGGCACATGTCCAGGTCATGGGCCAAATCCTCAGTCAGAGGCATGCAGCAGGCAGCCAATCGATATTCTCTCTCATCGATGTTTCTCTCTATCTCTCCTTCTCCCTTCCTCTCTAAAATCCATAAAGAAAAAAAAAATAAAGAAGAAGCCACATCGAGACTGGTAGGAGGGGCGGAGGCACAGATGGGCTAGTCCCATACCCACGTGTGGCAGACACCCCGGTTGTGAAGGTCCTCTCTGAGGAGTGAGGGGTCCCCGTCCCACATCAGGTACTCAGCTCGGGATTCCAGGACCAGGAAGAGAATCTCCATAACTTCTGGCTGTAAAAATCAGTGGGAACTGAGGCTAAGGGAGGCTGAGGCTGCGGCTGCTGGAGCCCCGGGCAGCTCCTCTTAAGGGACCCACTCATGGACTTACTCAGACTCACAACCTCTGGGCTCTGGCATGTGGGAGGCAGCTTGAAAGGCACCAGAGACATACAGTGAAGAACTGAGTTGTTAGGCATCAGGGCAAGAACTGAAGGGGCAGCTTTCTCCTGGATACACGTGTTAGCTGAGGCTGTTGTTCCTTTGGTGAGCCCTCCTCCCACAGGGCAGGCAGACAGCCACCACACCTGCGACTCCAGCAATCTGGCTCACACTGTTTGCTCCACCCTGGTGATTTCTCTGAGGCCCTGCCCCACCCAACTTTCAGGCCCACCCAAGCTGTTTCCAGTGGCTTTACCATAGGGTTGGCCTTTCTTGGATCTTGCTTCATATTTTCCTAAAATCTCAAATAAGGAGTATCTGGTCTCAGTGAGCCCTGTATCTCTCATTAAGTGGCCCCAGACCGGTCACTAAAAGCAGCCAGCCTTGGTTTACAATTTGGCTTTGCCTGGGCACCTCCAAGCCCAGCACAAGAAGCAGCCATCAGCAGATCACTTTGTAGCTTATGCCGGGTGGCCCGGGGTAGAACTCAGGCATTGGCTGACCTTTCCCTAGAGCCAGCACACACAGTGGACAGCTTCAGACCACATCGAAACACCACCACCCAACCACCTCCACAAGTGACACATTGAATGAGTGGACTCCGTGGGTACCAGAAAACTGCTGAAGTAAGTCTTGCTTTGTGTGGTAGGTCCCTAGACAGCTGATCCCCCAAGGCAGTCAGAGGCCAGTGGTCAGTGGGCACAGCCAATCCTTGTAGCTGATCTGCCTGAGTAAATCCCTCCCACTGATGTGCCAACAGCAATCAAGACTCAATTACAGCAGAAGTGTGTACAATCCACACTAGGGGTGCACCTCAAGGGCCCAGCTGGGGTGATCAGGGAGGCTGTGCCACTGGATCCTGCAGGACAACTACAACAATAGGCTACCCTATGAAGCCCAGGAGACATAGCAACTCTTCCTAATACATAGAAACAATCCCAGGGAAGCAGCCAAAATGAGGAGACAAAGAAATATGTCCCAAAAGAAAGAAAAGAACAAAACTCAAAAAAAAGAACTAAACAAAAATGGAGATAAGCAATCAATCAGAAGCAGAGTTCAAAACACTGGTTATAAGGATGCTCAAGGAACTTAGTGAGAACTTCAAGGAACTTAAGGAGAACTCCAAGGAATTTAGTGAGAACATCAACAACATAAAAAAGGGCCAGTCAAGAAGGAAGGATGCACTAAATGAAATAAAGAATAATTTACACAGATTCAATAGTAGAGTAGGTAAAGCCAAGAAGTAAACCATTGATTTGGAATATAAGGAAGCAAAAAACACCCTATCAGAACAACAAAAAGAAAAAAGAATCCAAAAAAATAAAGATAGTGTAAGGAGTATCTGGAACAACCTCAAGCATGCCAACATTCACATTATGGGAGTGCCAGAAGGAGAAGAGAGAGAACAAGAAATTAAAAACCTAATTGAAAAAATAATGGCAGAAAACTTCCCTAACTTGGTGAAGGAAACAGATGTATGAGTCCAGGAAGCACTGAGTCCCAAACAAGACGAACCCAAAGAGGTCCACACCAAGACACATCATCATCAAAATGCCAAAGGTTAAAGACAAAGAGAGAATCTTAAAAGCAGCAAGAGAAAAGCAATTAGTTACCTACAAGGGAACTCCCATTAGACTCTCAGTTGATTTCTCAAAAGAAACTTTTCAGGCCAGAAAGAAGTGGCAAGAGATATTCAGTGATGAAAAGCAACAACCTACAACCAAGATTACTCTTTCCTGCAAAGCTTTCATTTAGAATCAATGGCCATATAAAAAGTTTTCCAGACAAGAAAAATCTAAAGGAGTTCATCACCACCAAAGCAGTATTATATGAAATGTTGAAGGGCCTTCTTGAAGAAGAACAAAAATGCAAACAATAAAATGGCAATTAATACATATCTACTAATGTTTGAATCTACAAACAAAATGAGCAAGCAGAACAGAAAGACTCCTAGATACAGAGAACATTTTGTTGCTTGCTTGATTGGGGGGTGGGAGGGGATGGGTGAAAAAGATGAAGGAATTAAGAAGTACAAATTGGTTGTTAGACTGAACCTCAAAGGAAAGGCAGGAGGGAGGGCGGGATGAGATAAACCAAAGAACTTCTATGCATATATGCATAACCAATGGACACAGACAACAGTGTGGGGAAGGCAGGAGAGGGGCGGGATTGGAGAGGAGGGAGTCAATGGGAAAAAAGGGGGGGACATCTATAATACATTCAACAATAAAGAGAAGTTTTAAAAAATAAATAAATGACACTAACATTCACTGTTCTTTTTCTCATACCCTATAAAAATTTCTCAGCAGGTTCTCTTGGTTCTAACTTCAAATAGACTCAAATCTAAACAGTTATTTCCACTGCTATCTACCTAGTTTAGGCAGCCAACATCTCTTGCCTGAATTATGTCAATAACCTCAAAATTGGTCTCTCTGATTCTCCTCCTGATTCCTACACATTCTTCTCTCTACAAAGCATCTAGACTGAGCCTGTTAAACATAACTCAGCTGTCACTCCTCTGCTCAAAATGTTCCAGTGATTTCCATCACTTAGAATAAAACCTAAAGTCCTTACCATATCTTATAAGGCCCTCCATGATCTACCTTCGGCACACACTACCTATCCATCTAATTTCTCCCAGACTTCCAGTGTACCCATCTTGCTGTTTTTCCCAACATAAAGGCTTTTGCCTTTGCTACTACTCCCTCTTAACCCCAGATATTTTATACTATTGCTCCTTAATTTCATAATGGTGCTTTACAATACATGAAGCAAAATTTGTCAAAAAGTAAAGGGAGAGAAAGACAAATCTAAAATCTTAGTTGATTATTTTAACACTCATCTCTAAGTAATTGAAAGAAAAAGTAGGCCGCCTCCCCTCCAAAAATGTCAGTAAGAATATACAATATTTTAATAACACTACCAGCCAAATTGCCCTAATTTACATTTGTAGAGCAATATACTCACCAGGGGCAGATTACAAATTTGTTTTAAATATACACAGAATAGTCAACAAATTAGACTATATACTGTCCATAAAACAAGTATTAAATTTAAAAAGACTAATCATATGAAGTATTCTCTGACCAAAATGAAATTAAATGAGAAATCAACACTACATCTAGGAAAACCCCCAAATATTTAGAGATTGAGGTAAAAGGCCCAGATCCTAGAGCTTCCTAAATATTGCGCCTTAGGAAATCTGAACATTACTAGAT